TTATGTACTCCAACTTCTTTAATGAAATTATTTTCTGTGACTTATGCAAACTATTTTTCATGTACAGTTTTAGGCAGCTTAAAAAAATCTAGACACTCGTTACTAAAGGCTAAGGTGGCTTATCAACACAGCTTCTTTTTTAAAAGTGTTTTCAGTCAATCTCTACTATCTTTTATTCTTGACAGTATGAAGAAGATACAGTACAAAGGTATAACTACTTCCTTTTCCTGGGTCTTTTTGCCTATTTCCTGTAAATGTGGCAATCAGCAACTAAATGCCTCAGCCATGATTTAGGCAACTGTCTCAGTCTAAATTGCCTTAGGAATGCTAAATAATGGATGAGATTTTAATACTTCTAACAACCTCCAAAGTCTATGTTCTTGAATAACTATAGTCCACTAAACTATGGAATTAATTATAGTCTCGTGCCATACAATGACATTTTGGTCAACAACCTGTATACAATGGTGGTCCCATAAGAATATAATGGAGCTGAAAAATCCTGTCCTCTAGTGACACTGCAGCTGCTGCAACGTCATAGTGACATATACTACCCCCCGTCCATAAAGATGGTATAAAAATACCTACTGTGCTCCCTGTCTAGCATATGCAATTATGTACAGTATATAATACTTGAAAAAGATTAAAAAACTGTTACTTGTTTATGTATTTACTATGCTATGCCCTTTACTGTTATCTTGACGTGTACTTCTATTTATAAGAAAGAAAAAAGTGAACTATAAAAACAGCCTTAGGCAGGTCTTTCAGGAGGTATTCCAGAAGAAGGTAACGTTATCACAGATGACAGCCCCACGCCTGGTATTGGCCCTGAAGACCTGCCAGGGGGAAAAGATGTAAAGGCGGAAGACAGTGGTACCGATGATTTGGACCTGGAGTAGCCTAGGGATGGTGTGTTTGTGTCTTAGTTTCTAGCATGAAACTTTAGGAAGTTAAAAAGAAGTTTTTTAGGTAGAAAAAAGGCTTATAGAATAAAGAAGCTTACGTAGCTATACAATGTGTTTGTGTTTTGAGCCAAATGTCAGTATGAAAGTACCAAAAAGTTAAAAAAGAAATGTTAAAGGTTATAAAGTAAACAAATGACAGGAAACTAAGCTTAATTTATTATTGTAGAAGTGTCCCAAAGACACAGTTCTCGGTATCCCTTTTGTTAAGTGTTTTAAATGAAGGAGGAAGTGGAGGGCCTCAGTTGTCAACACAGCACTCCCAGCTCATTTGATGAGATGTATGATGGGCTGGATGCACGATGAGCTTTGTTCATAATGCCACTATTAACTGCAGTTCAGTAAAACTAGATTCATCTTTGGACTTTAATCGTAGTACATGTGCATATGCTTTAACACATAACAATTGTGAAATAGGTATGGGAATATTTTTTCCTCTTTTTTTAGTTAAGTCATTTTTAAATTTTATTATGCATGTACAGAGATATACAATTTCATTAGACATAAACTAGATGCACGCAGATGTTAGCCAAGCATATAAATGTGATCATGGCAACACATTGTTACTCGTTTGTATTTTTCAATACTATCACTCCCCTTTCGTAGTTAAGAATACTAAGGTTTAGTGATAGTAACTGAGTTACTAACTATTTATAGCAGGTAAGTAATGAAGCCAGGTTTGTCACCAAGACAGATTCTGGTTCATGTTACGGTGTTTTTTCCACTGAAGCACATTTCCTGCATTCGAGGTTTTGGCTTAATTTGTTGTTCATGCTTGGCTTGGGTAAGCAAGAAGATTTACAGTCCTGGTAGAGCTTTGGAGTTCGTTCACAGATCCTATTTTCCTACCCCATCTTTTCTCATGGGAGGGAAGTGGAGGCCAGTGAGGCAGAATAATTTGGGAAAGCCACAGAGAGATAATGACAGGACCAGAACGCTCGCCCAGTCCTCATTTAGACACTGCCCAGAGAGAAAGACATTTTATCTAGAAGATCACAGGTTAGCCTCAGGAGGCAACAGAGGGAATACATTTGTGGGTACCAAAAAAAAAATTCCCCGGGGGGGCCAAAAAGAAGGTTCAACGAAAACTTTTTTTTTTAACTTTCCTTTAATTATCTTATTAAAACTTCCAAACCCAAGCACAGCAGCACATTGGCAACACATTAGTCAAATGAGAAAAATGCAATGCAACATGGCACAGGATTCCCAGGGCAGCTGGGCTTACCTTCATAAGTCCCACTTTCTAGGAGAGCACCACTTTTCTCCAATTCCATAAAATCTTCAACAGTGATGAAAATATAGTCCACTCCAGGAACCTCACCCTCCTTATGTGGCCTTGTGGTGCCTGAACAAGGAAAAGTCAAAACAAAAGAGAGACTCTAAGTTATTTGTTGTTGAACTTTGGAAATATCACCATATTTCTGAATATTCAATAACCCTTGTTTGTACATCCTGCAAGTCGACAGTTCGTATTTGTCCTTCTGTTTGTTTGGCCACAGAATACACCAGAGGGTGAAGATTAAAGTAAATGCACAAAGCATTTTCTTCATCAAACTTAAACAGAGTTCATTGCCATGGAATATGGGTGCGTGTATTTTTCAGTGAAGAATGCTGAACATTGTGCCTTTTTTGAAGAGGTGGTTTGAATATTGGGCCAGGAGCCTGCTAGCTCAGGAATTTACATATTTCATTCCCATGAAAGGACATCTATTGTTCCCTAGACTGCTGTGCTATGACATAAAATACAACAGAAAATAGAAATCTTAACAAATTGGCAAACTATTATTGTATTTTCATAATCTGTTTCCTTTTGGGAGAACAGTTTGTTGGTTTTCATTTATTAAATTTGTGCCAAAAAAATAATGTATGTTTGATTTAAATGACCACAAAACATTTTACTATTACTTAAAATTAAATTTATCACTCAACTGGAGTTAGGCATAATTAAAATTGCATTAGCAACCATAATGCTGTTAATGTAGTATCTCATTTGCTAAGAGGAAACTGCCTTTGACTTCATCATTGCCTTCATTTACACGACCTGCCATCCTTCTTTATTGCCTCCAATTCGCCTGAGTGGGGAAGTGACACCCTCCTGGAGGTTACTGCTTCCTGCATCACCTGCACAGGGAACGGTGCTACAGAGAGACACGGTGACAGGAGCATCGGTGGCTCCACCTTTGGCTCCACTCAGCTGTCCCGATACACAGACCCTCCCAGGCAGGCTGTCCAGGATGCGAGGTGGGAGCAGAAATAGACGTTCTCACAGATACGGATTTGTTTTCTGGTATATTTCCTTCCCTCAACATGCCCTAAACATCTTCCTTTCTTTTTCTATGCCACCTACAGAAGGCATTTTGCATGGTCAGATTGTAATTTACATAATGCATACATGCAAATTAAGTATGCAGAAATACCCAGAGGCCAAATATATAAGCAAGGTAATAATACATGGGCAGACTTCTTCCTATTTAAGACGCCCCCATTTTGTTTCTATATCCAAAAAAAAAGTATTTTAAATCTTTAAATTGTATATTTTGTTCTCTGAATTTGATATCTTTATTACTAGGTCATGAAAATAGCTAGTCAGTTCTCCTTTTGGTCTGGTAGGAACAAATCCTGACTGCATATGAAAGGCAGAAGCTGATGTCAGAATGTACCATGTACTTGGGAAATTTATTTTGGGTAAAACTGAAAGATTCCCATTGAAAACATTGTGTGAGATTTAAAGGTATTATTTTCCAAAATTTTTACAACCCTTCTTTGGAGGTCTCAAAACAATATTTTTCCATAATCATGTTTAATGACTTCCCCTGAATTTGTTATTTTATTTTGTTTGACTGAACCACATTTTGCAATATTTTCTATTCCTTTCATGCTATAAAATAGAAGCCTCCTACACCTAGTATGCATAATGGCGTCAAATTAATGTTTCTATGAGAACCTTAACTTTCAATACCCTGACTCTGGTGTGTTCAAATTTGTGAATCAGAAGTGTATTAACGTGGTTTTTGGCATCACTGATTTGCTTTTCTGCTTATTTAGATTACACTGTAATCATTAAGAAAAAATCAAATAACAAAGATTCAATTCTCCTTACTAATTCACCTGCATATTTCAGAAGCTACACGCTTTGGCTAATTAACTGCTTGCAACCTGGTAATGCATTCCTAGCACAACTTGAGCAGAGGATCACATGCCTGAGAGCAACTTCCAGGGCTGCTGACTGTTTTGGAATAACTTGGCGGTACGAAATTCAAGTGAGCATGTTTGTGGTTATGTTACTCTTGGGAGGACTCTGAGTACTTTTGGTTCACTGAGTGGTTTTCCATCTCCACCTCGCCCTTCAGACCTCTGTGACTAGGTTCTGACTTCTGTGCTGCCTCACTTGACCAGCTGTTGCCCACTTGATGCCACTGCCTACTTGGACTGAAAGCTTGCCTACCTCACTAAGGAAGTTTGACTCTACAATCTCATACACTGGGCCCCCCATCTTCACATCTACTGCTTATCTTTTTTCTTATTCTGCTTTTCTTTCTAATCATGATCTCCAGTCCCTCGATCTCTCCTAATTTCTTTGATTCTCCCTAAATCTAGCTTCACTTGCCTCCCTAACTACTAAAGGACTAGGAACAACTTAGAATCTTCCTTCCTTTAATTCACCTTCACCATTTTCTGACTCATAATGCATCTCCACAATCACTATTAGATATCACATTCACATTGACAGCAATTGCTACAGAAAACTATAAACCTTCCCTAACAAAGTACTCTGTAAGTTCAGGTTATTTCATGTCAGCTTCACCCCACCAATACTTGAGAATCCTCTTCTATGTGGCTTCTTGCCTCTTCTTGTCACACTCCCACCATTTTTAATACTCAACTGCTTTGAGCTTCTGCAGAAGACATGAGCTCATTCTTTCTTGGTAAAGCAAGAGATGATCTGAAATCAAATTCCCTAAAGCTTGCTAATTTCGATTTTCTTCATCTACATTATCTTCATATTTTCTCTTCTCCTTCAAAACTAACCCTTCATTGAAATTATCCATCCATTGTGCTAAAATGAATCCCTTCTCCTTTGCTTCCTTTCAAAATTTAGTTTTTATAAAAGCTGCATATACAGATACGTTAAATTTTCAAATTATTCTATGAGGCTTGTTATTTTTTAAAAAGCAGACCGTAGTAGCCACTCCCCCTCCTACACACACACACACACCCCACATGCACACCCCACATGCACACCCCACATGCACACACTCACAGAAACATACCTTTCCCTTTATCAGAGGCAAACAAATTCAACTTTTAGCTGACTCATTCGCTTTACTTCCATATCTCTAAATATTTTCTTTAGGATGTCTCTTGATTTCTTTTACTTGAGTAATTATATTTTAATTTTCATGTAAACAAAATAAGGATTTAGCTCTCTCTGGACCACAGTTCTGCCTTCTCACACTCACAGTTTCCTCCTTTTTCCCTTTTTCCATTACTCTAACAGAGGAAATTTGTGTTTAGGTCACTACTTAGTGTTTACATTAATAATCATTAATAATACCATGTAAATCTATTCCCAGCTCTACCAACTACTTTTCCCTTACTGTGTAATTTTTTGATCAGTATAGATTTAATATGTCTCCATTTTCAATACATTAATCATTAATGCAAATATAAACTCTCTCCTTGTCAGAGAAATCTTTCAAAATGTACAACCATGTTTGATAACTTATCAAGTTTATCCCATTGAAGAATAAGTGCCTGCAGTTGCCTTCTAACCTAGGGTGACCAGACGTTCTGATTTTGGCGGGACAGTCCCGCTTTTCAACAATTTGTCCCACGTCCCGCAGCGTTTTAAAAAAGTCCCAATTTTTGGAAAGAATGCACGAACGGGCTGGAGAACAAAAAGGGAATATATGGTTTTCAGCTGCCATGTGGCTATTTCGCCAGAATATAAGTTTTATATTATTTTTGTTAATTTTATAATGTTAAACTGTAATAATAACAAATAATTATTGAGAAGTGATTATTGAGAACTGCTTATCAAAGTTTGCCTTGTTATCAGGCCCTGCCCTGCCCCGTCCCCTGCCATGTTGCCACGCTTTACAAATGTTAAAATCTGGTCACCCTATTCTAACCTGCTCTACTCTGGATTGTGTTGGTCTACCCACGGTGCCACCTGGGATCACTTGTTGTCATCCTGGGAATCACGTTGCCTCTGTCTTGTACTGCTCTTCCTCTTCTCCAGACTCCATGCCTATTTTCATGGTCTTTGTCCTCATTTTGGCAGAGCACATCTGTCAGAAGCTTCTTGTCAAAGATTGCATGGGACCTACATCGTTCTGAGATTTTGCATGTCTGAAAATGTCTTCGTTCCACCCTCATGGGCGGCAAATCTCACAATATTTCAGGAAAACATCATAATGAAAGTGTATTTCTCCATCTTACTCCCCTGTGAATGTCAACCACAATTCTTCCAGCCAGCTGCCTGACTCCTTCCCTCAGACTCACTTATGAGTCCTCCTCCACTCTTTTATCTCCAAATATTTGGCAAGGTCTATCCCTGCAACTCCTCAATGCCTATTCCCACCTGTGCTATCGCCCATCCCAGCACAGCCCTCCAGGACCAGATGGTGGCTCTGTCACTGAGGTGCCTGCCTCCTTCTCTTGGTTTCTCACAGCACTGACCGGTTAGCCCTGGGAAAGCTCAAGGCCAATCACATTCTCCTCTCGAAAGGTTTATCTACACAATCTCAAGAGATTTGGCTGAAAATGACAGAGAGAGAAAAATACTGAGAGCGCAAAAGAATCAGAGAAAGCTCAGTTTCTATTATTTACAATAACAGGCAACTGGAGGTATATCAGCTCGTAGGGTTTCTTTTACTTTTTTTTTCTCTAGACTGAGTATAAAATTTATTTCATTTTAAAAAGAGAGAGGGAGTGAGAGACAGGAAGAGAATGTAGAAAGATGAAAAAAGTGAGCAGAGAGATGGGAGGCATTCCCGCCTTGTAGAGTCTCTCTACATGGACTTGCCTTGACTGAACGTGTAAGAGGACATAAATTAAAAATTTTCTACCTAAGAAATAAATATCTTTCTTCTTTGATTTCTATGTGGCATAATGCTTTCTCCTTAGCCTAGAATCTCCACCATTAGAATTACTCTTTGGTTTAGACAAAGGAGCAACTACCTGAGCTATGGGATCACACTGCCTGTGCTTGCTGGGATCCTGCCACCTGCTATCAGTAACACTGTGAGCGAGGAAGGCCCTTCACCTCTGTAGACTATAGTTTTCTTATCTGTAAAATGGGAACAATAATAGTAGCATGTTCATAGGGCTGTTGAGAGAAAC